CTTATGCAGACACACACACATACACACACACACACACACACATGCGCGCACGCATGCATGTATGCATATGTTGTGTATGTAGTGTATTATGTATATGTGTATGTGTGTGTGCGCGCGCGCGCGTACATAACAATATAATTACAATTAATGATGCAATAGCAATAATATTATGTAAACGTCAACGTCATTGAGACAGATACAATATATACGTTTCTGCATAATTTAATTAGTCATTAAATCTCCATTCGATCCGCCCAAACACAACAACTTAAAACATCGAGATAATGGGGATATCGCTGTAAATTATATAATTACTTCAATGTCTCTATCACTTTGGAATAAATGATTCTATATTTATATGCTGCACATTTCATATTCGTTACTCTTTCCTGTGTATTAATCTTTGAAATATTACTGTTCTTTGATATCTCCATATCTCGCGACGCAATTTAAACGATTATTTCAGTGTCGATTCGCGAAACACTGATCCAAGCTAATAATACGACGCTCCGATGAAAACAGGATAATAGATAAGATAAATCACATGCAGCCTTATTGCTCATTCTCTCTCACATATTCATAGACATTTATACTTTCTCTTGCATTCGCTCCTCTCATTCTTTTCTTTTTTCGCAAAGAGGAAAATAACGAATATCATCGGGTAGATAAAAACACGAAGTTTATGATAACCGTAAAACACATTTGTCAGAGAGTACGATGAAAAAAGGGGAAGGGAAAGGCAGAAGGCTGGTGCCCAATCCTCGAAAGCACATTGCACTGTTTGCTGTCTGAAAACATCGGTCTAAAAACATGCGGTAATTATCGGTTTTTACTATAATGAATGATTAATCAAATCACTAAGTGTCGCATCTTTCTCTTTTCTTTCTTTCTTTCGTTCGCGATATTTACTTTATCGATAAGGATTGCTCTCGTAATTCGAATGTTAATGTACGCGTACACCGCCATTTGGCTTTGCCGATCATTGCCAAAAAATTTATATCTTTCTTCGGAAATACGACAGCAAGGTTCGCAAAAATACCACTAACACAACTCCCATCACTCGCGTGATTACTGGGTTCGATCTCTGATGTTGAATAATGCAAATCTTTTTCCGATCATATATCGTCGTACGCGCTCTCAAATTCTTCCCTCACTTTTCATATTCCTCTCGTTTGTTTCTAACTTAATCTTTTCTATATCTGCTGTTTCGGTTGTCTGTTGGATTATCGCCACACACAACTCTTCCTTACTCCTCCTTCGTTGGCTCAGTCTTCTTGCCAAGAGGAATTGCCGCCTTCACCCTAAAATAATCGAATAATTGATTTTGAAAAGTATTGCGACAAAAGATAATTGCGAGAGATAATCAGAATCAGTGATGCAACTCGTTTTTTTTCTTTGCACAAAGTAACATTTTACGCGTAAAAAGATATCATATTTTATTGCAAAACTTTAATACAAATTTTGCATTTATGTACATAACTTTGAGATTTTTGTCAAATCTTAACATTGAAGTAAAGTTTGAACTTAATATTAATTTTATATATATATATATATATATATATATATATATATATATATATTA